CATGTTGCAGCAGCTCCATTCTCTCTCTCAGGATCTGCGCGTCTCTCTCTCGTAATTCACTCAAGACCTGCCGCTTCCACTGATCCACAGCTCCTCTCAGCGAATCCCGGTCCTGTTCACTCAGAAGCTCCGATACCTTCCCGCTCGACTCCTCTCGCTGCAGAGCGTCAAACAGCATCGCCTCCAGCTCCAGGATACGCTGAGAGAGAGAGAGAGAGAGACACACCAGATCAAGAACAGCTACACACACCACTGGGACACTCAAACACAACTGCAAAGCAAAATGCAATGTTATCTGGCCCTGAAGAGACAATATACTCTGGCAGACTACCTTAACACAGTGACAGATAAAGGTCTGAGGAACACCCTGAGCAGATACAGACTCAGCGGACACCAGCTGGCTATAGAGACGGGCCGGCACAGACAAACATGGCTGCCGGTGGAGGAGCGGCTGTGCCCACACTGCCCTCAGCAGCCGATTGAAACAGAACTGCACTTCCTTACGGAGTGCACAAAATACTCAGAGATCCGGGAGAAGTTCTACCCGAAACTCACACACACACACACACAAAAACTTTGAGTCCCTGTCAAACAATGAGAAACTGCCCATCCTACTGGGGGAGTGTGTGTGCTGCTGTGTTAGCAGCTCAGTTTGTGCACTCCTGCCACCGTCTGAGGAACCCACAATGATCCGCTCCACAGTCTCCAACACACAACACAGGAACTCTTTACTCGTGGACTTACTGTTTATATTATTGTCACCACTTTTATCCTGTTTCACAAATTACCATTAATCTATTTTTATTTTTATTAATATTTTTAGTCTTACTGATATATTGTTATTTTTTCTATTCTTTATTTCTATATAATATTTTATGTTCATATTTGTTTGCACTACTGCCCTTTTTGCACTGTCTTGTCTGTACGCAGCGACGCTGCACTGCTTTGGCAATACGAATGTACAGTTATTTGTCATGCCAATAAAGCACCTAAAATGTGAAAATGTGAAAATGTGAAATGAGAGAGAGACACACACACAGACACACACACACAAACACAATACACACATTCTTTCTGTGGGCTGAAACACACTAATTTACCAGCAGGGGGCGCAGGAAGACAGAATACAACTGTCTTCTAAGTGTAATAGTGTAAATGTCTTATAGCAGAGTAACAGTGTAGGGTTAGGGGTTAGTAACAGAGGGTCTGTTTACCTGCAAAATTCAGTACTACAAATAAAATAACAATAATGATAGATTAAAATCAAGTATAAAATGTATTAAAAATGTAAAAAGGCAATGTGAGCACTTGCAATTCTTTTGGAAAGAATTAATAGGTGTAATCTCTAAAACTATAGTGTAAAGAAATCCCTGTTTGCCCTAAAATTTGTATTCTTGGTCTTTTCCCACCTGCCTTATCTCTGAAGACATATGAACAGAAGTTTATACATCTGTCTATTGCATCAGAAGCACCTGATTGCCATTCACTAGGAAAGTATTTATAGTCCATCTTTGTCTCTCAGGATTAAGGAAATGTTTTCTTGTATTGCAATGGAAAGACTGACTTATTTAAAGAAAAAATGCACATATTTTACACGATGTGGGACTTCTTTCTTCATTTTTTAGATAGGAATAGACTGACTGTTAAGTAATCCCAAACAATGAGACTGTGTTAATGTGCACTGTGTTTGTTATGACTAACAGTACTATATTTTTCAATTTCATTGTAATTTACATGTGTTAAACTGTCATTGTCTTAATGTTTTCTTTATTAATATTTTATATATTATTTAATTTATTTTATATTTTATTATTATTATCATTATTATTTTAGTTTTTTTTTTCTTTTTCTTTTTTATGTTGTTGCATGTCTATATTAGTTTTATGGCACTGTCGGGATGGAGTGGGTGTTCTTTGATTGGTATTTGGTTACTAAAACAGTTTGCATGCATCAGATTTTTCTGGAAAAAAGTAGATATACTTTTAAACAGTAAAATGTATTATAACAATAACTTCACAGAATCTTACTAAAAGAGACTATAATAATAATAATAATAATAATAATAATAACAAATATGAACAATTAGCATCACTTAAGCAGTACTATAAAATAATAATAACAATAATAATAATAATAGAAAAAACAAGCATAAAAATATAAAAAAATGGAAAAATATTTAATCCAACAACAATCCTCAAACTGTAAAATATATTATAAAAAGTAACATCATAATATCCTAAAGGAGTCAATTTAATAATAATAATAATAATAATAATAATAATAATTTAACCAAACTTTAAATATAATAATAATAATAATAATAATAATAATAATAATAATAATGGAAATCAAGCATAACATTTTATTTAAAATGTAAAAATATTTAATCTAATGATGATCCTCAAACAGTAAAATATATTATAAAAAATAAAATTAAAAAGACGTACTAAATGAGTTAATTTAATAATAATTTCTAATAATAATTGAATCAGTACAATAA